CCGGCTGGCTTGTCTCCCACTTCCTTTCATTTGTCTCCCACTTCTTTCATTTGTCTCCCAGTTCTTTTCATTCCCCAAACAGTTTACTGTTAGGCGTTCTCAATGCTTTAAAGAATGGTCGCCTTGGGTTCCGGCGTGTCTCCCACTTCTTTTCACTTGTCTCCCACTTCTTTTCACTTGTCTCCCAGTTCTTTTCATTTGTCTCCCAGGCTGGGTGCTTGTGGTCGGGTCCCGGCTGGCGTGTCTCCCACCTCCTTTCATTTGTTTCCAATTTCTTTTCATTTGTCTCCCACTACCTTTCATTTGTCTTCTACTTCTTTTGATGTGTCTCCCAGTTCTTTTCATTTGTCTCCCAGGCTGGGTGCTTGTGGTCGGGTTCCCGGCTGGCTTGTCTCCCACTGCCTTTCATTTGTTTCCCACTTCTTTTCATTTGTCTCCCACTATCCTTCATTTGTCTCCTACTTCTTTTCATTTGTCTCCCAGCTGGGTGCTTGTGGTCGGGTTCCCGGCTGGCTTGTCTCCCACTTCCTTTCATTGTCTCCCAGGCTGGGTGCTTGTGGTCGGGTTCCCGCCCTTTTCCGCTGGCCATGTAGCATTTCTATTCGTTTGTCTCCCAGGTCTGTCACTGCTGGTGTCCGCCCTTCTCCGCTGGCCATGTAGCATTTCTATTCATTTGTCTCCCAGGTCTGTCATTGGTGGTGTCCGCCCTTTTCCGTCGGCCATGCAGCATTTCTATTCATTAGTCTCCCAGGTCCGTCTGTTGGTGTCCGCCGTTTTCCGCTGGTGATGCAACATTTCTATTCATTTGTTTTTCAGGTCTGTCACTGCTGGTGTCCGCCCTTTTCCGCTGGCCATGCAGCATTTCTATTCATGTGTTTCGCGGGTCTGTCACTGCTGGCGTCCGCCCTTTTCCGCTGGCCATGTAGCATATCGATTCATTTGTCTACCACATCTCCTTTGGCCATGTAGCATTTCTATTCATTTGTCTCCCATGTGATTTCTTTCTTTTTGTCTTTCAGGTTTGGTGCCTGCACTGGTGTTTTCTGCCCTGTCCGCTGGAACAGGTTCACCTGTGAAAGGTTCTTCCTGGGGTGCGTGACTGTCTCCGGGATTGCATTCCTGCCACACTGTGTAACTCCCTCAGCTTGGTTTTCCTTTTCGGGCAAGCGTTGGATGAATGACCGGATTGGATTTCGGCGGCGTGGCAGCGATCTCTCTGTTCAGTTGGGACGGAGGGCATACGTTAGGCACCAAAAATCAATTTCATGTCACATCCTTCGCTCCTCATGCTTTTGTTTCTTGTCCTCACGCGGTCAGCTCCCCGCTGATTGAGCAACATGACCAGCATCATGTTCGCACTTGAAGAATAATTCCCCAAAAGGTTTACTGTTGGGGCTTCTCAATTCTTTTCTTAAGATATGTCCGCCTGCTCTGTACGGCTGTGTCCGTCTCTGCCTTGCAACCCTTTACATTTGTCTCCCAGCTCTGGGCTGCTGTGGCCGCCTCTGCCTTGCGCAATCCTTTGTCCAAGCTCTAGTTTCGATTTTGAAAAACACAAACTGTTTGGGGTCTACGGTGGTGTAATTGCAGTAGAAACCCAAGTTTTGGACATTTACGCTCGGCATGCTCAGGATATATGGCTATACGATCGTATATCTTGTGGAAAGACTCCCCTCAACCCGCAGGGGGGTCGATGGGGGCTTCATGTACCTTGGTCCTTGGGATGTGGCCGGACCGCCGGCCAACTCACCTCCGTGTCAGGAGGCCAACTCACCTCCGTGGTGCACGGCGCTCTTGAAGGAAATGGCCAGCTGCTTGCTGGACTTGCACCAGGAGAGCTAGGCAGTTCGGTCGCCTCGACAAACTGCCTGTAGGGTCCAATGAAACATATCCAAAGCTTTAAAGTAATTTAAGGGCTTGCAAATGAAGACTTCCTAGTCCTAGTGGTTCAAACATGTGTGGGTTTCCAAAGGTGCTTCGGTGTGAAAGCAGGCAGGGCACTGTTACGTGACACGAGCCTCCAAAAACCTGGGATGTGGTACCAACACTCAGGGTGAACTGGTGACACCATGGTGACACCAGTTCACATCCACCCATTTCGGGCCTCCTTCCCCCGTCCCCCATCCCTACCGCCACACCCGCGGAAACGCGCATGCGCGCGCCAGGAGAGCCTCCGCGGCTCAATGAGTTGCACCTTCTGTGGCAACGCGTTGAGCCCGGAGGAGTCCTTCTGCCGGCGCTGTGGACGGCGGAACGAGGCCGGGGCACGTGGGCCACCCGGGCGGCGGCCGGTGCCTGAGCGGAAGCACCTTATGGCATAGGAGGGGGCGGTCTCGGGTAAGAGGAGCAAGGGATTGTTGGGAATCGAATGGACTAGAAGTGAAGGAATGAGTGCGAGCCCGGTGGGTGCAAGTGGGCGCACCTGACTGGGTGCGGTCGGAATCCTTCGTTGGATTGAACATGGAAACAAGGACCTCCTCCAATGCGAAGTCCTGAGCAGATCAAGATGCGAAGTCCTGAGCGAAAGGCTTTTCAACCATTTTCCACCATTGGAAGGCTTAGCCTGACGTCGGAAAAGGCTACGAACAAATAGCTGAGCTGCTGTAAAAAGCAGTCAACACAACTCCCAAAAAGGACCCTGACCAACCAACAACCAATCCACATCAATCCTCTCTTCCATGCAGTGTAGCAGAGGTGAAGTGGAGTTGTTTTTGTTTTAGGCACTTTTCAGCACCGGGGTCTTCTATTTTCTTAAATGAACCACACACTACTCTCCAGTCCAAGAAGTTAGACAAGATAACCTCGGCCTCAAAAGAGGGGTCTTGATAGGTCTTAACCACTCAGGTGCCTTTGCAGACGGACGTGAAGCTGGGCGCCCTGCTGCGGAGTGGCACCTGGGCCATGAGGATTTGGGTCGTGGTGTGTCTGGAGGGTGGAAGGCCCCATTTAAAAAAATCCGTATTAATTAGTACATCGAGTACACAAGTGCTTTGAGTCTATGGGGGTTGGGAAGCCAAAAGATAGCCCAAATGCATCCACTGTAAATGTCTAGACATGCCTAGACACTTAGAATAGAATTGAATTGATTCATCAAACACACCAAGAATGAAAACTGAAGATCTTTTTAATGGTAGATGGTTGTACACCCAATGGTAGATGGTTTTGCACCAAAGAAGATCTACACCCATCAAGATGGGTTTACATCATCAAGAAGATCTACATCACAGCGGCTCCCAAGCTCAAAACCCGCCGGGCTCTGAAGGGCGGCTTCAAACTTTCAGATCGGCGCATCAAACTCCTGAACTGAGATCAGGCGTGATGATTTGCCATATATGGCAGTGGGTTAAAGCCAGTTTCCCAGGATTTACCGGTTGATCTACCTGGAAGGTCAAGCTCATAGCCACATGTGAGCAGTGAGCATGTAGAACTGAAAATAGACGTGGTCCAGAGTCTAGTCCCTTTATCCCTCCTGCTGCCGTCGCAGAATCAACCCCAAAACCGTTTCCGCCGAGATCCTCGGCTGAGAATCTCTGAGGCTCCTCCAAGGAGATCTTGGAGCGGCTGGTGTGGCTCCATGAGCAAGAGCCCTCGTTTTGCTTAACACACTATATGTTTTTCTATTTTTTCAGCGCCATCCTTGGCCGTGTTTCCCTCTCCGTTGCGAGAATCCGTGCATTTTTGTGGTTTGTTTCTTCCTTCGGTTCCGAACGACCGCCTCTCAGGAGCCCAGCTTGGGAGATCAAATCACCCTGGCCTTGGCCGCTGCGCTGCCACGGCTGAACATCATGAGGCGCGGGAGACTCGGTCACAGGACCGCGGTCGATCTGTGTGGTTCGGCACTGTGGTGCCGAGAAGGCTTAGTTATAGTTAGTGAGTGAGTGAGTTAGTTAGTTAGTTAGTTGTAGTTAGTTAGGTAGTTAGTTATAGATAGTTAGTTATAGATAGTTAGTTAGTTAGTTAGTTATAGTTAGATAGATAGTTATAGTTAGTTTGTTAGTTATAGTTAGTTAGTTAGTTAGTTGAGTTAAGTTTAGTTTATTATTATTTTTTTTAAAGCTAGCCAGTTAGTTAGTTAGTTAGTTTTAGTTAGTTATAGTTAGTTAGTTAGTTAGCTAGGTAGTTAGTTAGTTAGTTCGTTCGTTAGTTAGTTACTTGCAGAAGAGGAAGTGTAGTTTATGATGTTTTCAGTTTACTCAGCTTAGTTAGTGTATGATGTATGGGGTGCATGTTTCATTATATATGTGTTATGTGTTTTTTTTGCTTTGTTAGAGGCTCTTGGTCTTCGGCCGGGTGCTGCATGAGCTCTTCAAGCCGGAGGATGGGCTTCCGATCTCGGGTTTCCGGCTTCGGCCTCTGGTTGTTCTGAATGGATGGTTTTCTTTTGCCGACCCGCATCCTGATGGTGTACGGGTTGAGGGGAGGATTAATATGAAGTTGATAGAATCATTGCAATGCTGCTTGGAGGAGATCCAGAAGCCTTAGATGGGGACGGGGCATGCATTTTCAACTTTTTGCAGTGTTCCGAGCTGGTGCAAGATCACCTCATTGCGAAGGGCATGGGATGGACAGCTGGAAAGACGCCTCCCAGCGGCCCCCGGGATTTTCGGAGAGACGCCTTGAGCTGAAGATGATGTTCCTTTTCTTTTGCGGGTGTGGAAGGGAAAAAGCATAGATTTCTGACGTGGTTCGGTTTGAGTGTCACATGAATCAAACATAGAGCACATGCAAAATTTATATGAATTTATCATATTCCATCAGCACCCTAACTCCATCGACACTCAGCTCTCAAGAACGGATTAGCCAGCCTTTCCTCCTTGACGCTCCCAAAAGTTCGTTCCTAGTAGCGTCCTTGCTCCGTTCGTAACGATGCCCTTTGTTCCTAGTATATAGCTTTTTGTTCCTAGTAGTAAGGCCAGGAGCTACTAGTAGCGTCCTTGCCCTAGTCCTTGTTACTAGTAATACAGTAGGGATGCCCTTTTTTTCGATGTTCGAAGGATGGGAGCCCCTCGGCACGACACATTACTCAAGAGCTCCACCCCCAGCGCCGGGCGGCCTTAACCTCGGCGGTGACGCGGGCAGTGCTGGCGTCGGATCTGAATAGTTTGCCATATGAACTGGAGGAGCAGGTGGGGGCTCGGACCGCGGTGCTGATGCATGATGTGAAAGGGAACTGGGTGAGGTCTTGAAACCAGTCTCATGACATGGAATAAGCTTGACCAATATTCTTTTGGAAGCAGCTGTGGCCCTGGCCATCCAACCTAACTGACATGATGGACCCTGAAAGATGGAACCACGAAATCACATCTTGCAAAAGAAGCAGACAACAAAAATTGGATACAGTGAACTATGCTGACGCTCGTAGGCTAGGTCCGGTGCTCGTTCCGTCCAGGTGGAGGACTTGAGGCTCTCGCCCTACCTCTCCGACCCCGAGCGCCATGCGCTCCTGGAGCTCATGGTCGCCCCCTGCGAGGCTCGTGACCTCCGTGACCCCGATCGGTGGCGCGACCGGGAGCTGGAGAGGCCGCGCGACCGCGCGACGCTCACCCGCGGCGTGGCCGCTCCGGGGCCGGGGCGTGGCGCGGAGCTGCGAGCGCTGCGGAGGGCGCCAGCGCGGATGGTGGAGCCGGCGCCGGCACAGGCGCGGCTGAGGCGGCCGAGGGCGAGCGAGACTTATGGCTTTGGCTACCTGCCCGGGATGGCCTTTGAGGAGCTGAAAACGGGGGGGGGAGATGAATGCAGAGGTGGAGCACACGCAAGTTCCATCAAATTCCGCTGTCTAGTCTAAGTGTCAACCTTCGCAACCTTTCGCCCCCCACAAATGGACTTTCAAGATGCTTTGAACATACCAAACCCTCGACCGCAGTGAAGCGTCTTTGGACCCCCCTCTTGCTCCCCAGAGCCCACCGTGACCTGCAGATGCCCCGAGCGCGACTGCCGCCGAGGACTACGAGGAGCTCGATCCACGGCCGACCTCGCGACCGCCCTCGCTGCCGCCCTCGCCACGGGAGGCAGCGGCTCGGGGCGGGCGATCGTGGTTGCGCGCGCGGCGCAAGGGGTGTGTGCAGTTCATATGGCAAGGAGGTAACCAGTCGAAGAGTGGAAGCAGGGCAATGAAGGAGATTTCTTCATTGATTCAGTGATAGTCAGTGTATTTCCTCTTTGTGTTTCTCACCTTTCTCACCTTCCTGATGGATTTCAATCGCCTCAGGATTTTTGGCAGCAATCACCTTTCTGATGGCTCTGTTTGATGGTAGCAAAGTCCAAGGAAAACTATAGATAGGTAGATAGGTAGATAGACAGATAGACAGAAAGAAGGAAAGAAAGAAAGACAGATAGATGGATATATATATATAGATAATATAGATAAGAAAGAAAGAAAGATAGATGGTAGATACAGTAGATAGATAGGTAGATAGATAGATAGATTCGATAATGATAGATAGATTATATACACGACACAGTGATCTGCAGTGGGGCAGTGCTCGGGTGATGGGTGGGATGCCGGGAATGTCCGCTCGGCAGTGCTCGGCAGTGCTCCGCCGCTGGAAGCGTCAGGAGTTCTTCCTTCCCGACTCATACAGCCGCCGGGATGGAGCTGGGGGGAGATGCTATGAGCTGGGCAACATGTGTGACAACGTCTTGGACCGTTTGCCTGCCATTGGTGAAACCATCGTTTGCCAGCTAGCCTTCTACATACAGATCCAGATGGAGAGTAGAAGAACCACCTGTCTTTCTTGGGGCATCACAGTTGTTTGCAGTGTCTACACCATTACACAATAGTTTCAATTCAGTCCACTTTGCTGTACACTGTGCACGGCTTAGGTCGTCTTGACCTGCATAAACTATAGCTACATAGTGACATAGTGGAGGAATTTGCCCAAATAGTGCCAAAGGATCTACAAGCACACTTGCAGCTGATGATGCTGATCTTACCAACCCAACTTCGCAACCTCAACATGAATGAAAAACAACACCCCCAAACAGACACACTTCAGAGATCTTCAGAGCAAGCCTTGCTCCCTCCACCCCGACCCTCAGCCTCTTCACCCGGCCCAGGCCGTTTCAGGGGTCTCCGCACTGACTCGCCCCGCCCGTCGCTGCAGCGCGCGGCCAGCGCCTTCCAACGCCTGGCCGAAGCCGCGCAGCGCGAGCGCGGCTACGCGCGCCCCGCGTCGCGGCCGGGGTCGCCGAGGGAGCGGGTGCCTGGATGGGGGATGTGATGCGAACTGCTGGGAGAGGAGGATGATGTCAGAGTTTATGTGTGTAATTGGTACGTGATCTAAACGCAGTTTTGTTTTCAGCTGGGGCTCCTCAAGCAGATGCGATTGGCATGCAGTGGGCACCTGCCGTCTCACCTCCCACCTTGCCGGAGTTGGCCAGGAGAGTCAAGAGAGAGGGGAATGATATTCATTGAAGTGACAGGCGTTGAATTCCGTGAGCCTGGAACATTTTTCTTCAGGGTGGCCTGAGTAGTCAAATGCAACCTCACCCCCACATGAATCTACATCGTGTATATATGTTTATTTAAGGGGCTAGCGCCCGCTGCCCACCGACCCCTGAGAGGGGTCGGAGGCCCATAGTGGAGCGGTCTAGAAGTGGTGGAATATGTGGAAGATGAGACTTCCCTCCTGGTCTGGTAGATTCATGAACGTACTTTAGCCCAACCTTTTGATCGATGGATGTTGGAATATCTTGCAGAAGAATTCATCTGCAAGGATGTCTCGTTTTGTGGTGCTTCCATCTCATTCATGTCCAGTATGTGTGTTTATGCAGAGGACTCTTCAACAACAGACTTTGAGTTGATGCTTCCCCAAGTCCCTTTCTTATCTTTCGAGGTTGGAGCCACACCCACTCGGCCAGCCAAAGCGCAACCCGCGCCCTTCCAGCGAAACAAAGTGTGCAGGGTGCGAGCTGGCATCGCTTGGACCTGCGTTCCTATGGTTCACTGTTTCCCTGTCATGAGATGGGACTTGTCGATCCCCCCCCTCGTAAGTCCACCCCCCCCCGCATGGCAGCCGAGCACACCGCATGGTACTGCGCGCCGTGGTCCTTATCTTCGCCTGGGGGCAGCGCGCGCGCTCGCAGAGTACCTTGTGTGCCAGACGGGGCCTGGGATGCGCACGCCGCCCCGCTCGGCTCACGTTCATCGGCCTAGACCGGGGTCGGCGGACTTCTCTTGTGGCATGTATACATCAGTTTGGCCAGCATTGGACAGGCAAACTCTGAGGCTCATTTTGGCTCAATGTTCTCCGTACTTCCAGCATCTGGCAGGGCTTAGCTCCGGCTTGGTATTTCGTTCGTGGCTTTTCTTCAAGGAAGGCCCGAAGGCCCTCCGAAATGTGAGGGCCTCGTGTAAGCTATGTGGCTGAGTGCTGGCGCTCGTGCTTTCGGAACCACCCCCCCCCGCCGACCATGTTTGGTCCCCCAAACTTTCGAAGCTCTGGTAATGGCCTCCGTCCGAGATGAAACCCAAGTGAGATCTTGATAGATTTGAAGTGATGTGTGGACTGCGCACGAGCAACAACCTTCTACTTGTAGGAAGAGAGGGAACGTGGTTTCTCATATCTACCTAGCCATTCAAACTTGAAGCACATCCATTTCATACGCAGCGACATGCAGCGACAGTGTGGCTCAGCTCCCTGCAGGAGCCAAAGGGTGCCAGCTCAGCATATCTCACTCGGATCAATGAGTGCAAATGCCCCGGAAATGCCCTGCTCAAAGGTCAAAAGTGTTTGGATTGGATGTGCTCAGGGGTCACGTGGGCAATACCTGGGCACTCAGTGCGTTCGTACATGGTCAACCCCCTTGGAAGTCTAAAGCGCAACTGGGTCATGTCCTCCAGGTCGCCACCTACGTTTTTTCCCGCAATGAGCTGAACGCCTCACGTGCTCAATTTCAGACAGACAGACAGACAGACAGCTAGATAGACAGATAGACGATAGACAGATAGACAGATAGATAGATGGATAGCTAGATAGCTAGATAGGATAGAGATATAGATATCGAATGGTACATGCTGTGTATTTGTATATGCACACAATATAAGTAGATAGATAGAGATAGATCCAGTAGACTGCTTCTAGACTCTAGACGAAAGATCCACCAGCCTTGGCCACGTCCGAAGAACCGGCCATAGCGGCTGCGGTGGAAAGAGAAGGAACAAGACCCAAGGCCTTTCCACGGTGTGTTTTCCTGGAAATAGTTTTTTTGAGCGTGATTTGTTTTTTTTGGGCGTGGGGTATGTAAGCAACTGTTTTGTTTTGGAGATATCTGCAGTGCGGGTCAATTTAGTATACCACATCCAAACTTATCAAAGATGGGAGACAACAGGGAAAGCGCAGTGGATATTCTTAGCACGAATCCTTTTCCAAAGGTCCATGTTCAGGACATTGTTGATGTTAATCTTTCAGGATGATCTCCATTCTATAGCCACTGACCTGTTCTGCGGGTGTCGCTGCTCGACCCGGCTCCAGCTTGCGACGTTTCACTCCTAGTCGACCCGACCTTTTGGTCGTGACCTGGCTACCGTGGCCTAGGAAGATCATCCCAAAACCCCCTGGCTTTGGCCCACGTGAAGCTAGCCAGCTCAGCTCCGGAATTCACGGTGACTCCCAGTTTCTTCGATACATGATTCTTGGGTCCTGGGGGGCCGCTGAAATCACATAACTCTCGTGAAGCTCCTTGGACCTTGCGGACCTCCCCCAAGTTCCTGTGGTTTTTGGGGATGGCAGAGCCTGTAGGAGATTGGAAAAGGTGCGACAATGACCAGTGACCCTGTTGGTCATCTTCTCAAGTTCATGACGAACATGAGGCAACTGAAAAGCTATATCATGCCATATCACAAAAATGTTCTGAAGATTAGGAGGATGATTGAGGATTATATATACTTTTCGCTTTGGCGAGAATTTGGATTACCCGGCATACCTCTCACGCCAGCAGCTCCTCCCTTGCGTGGCCGCCGCGCCCCCCGCGCCGCATCAAACAAATGGGGCGCTTTCTGGACTGATGATATGCTGCTGGGCCGCATGCGAAACAAATCGGCGAGGTGCGGGCTGCCACCTTAGTCCTTAGATATCTCCCAAAGCGGCAATCTTTTTTCGGGCTCCTGGGGTGGCTAGGCCCACCCCAACCCCCTTTCAACTCTTCTGGATCATAGGGACAATCCGTCTTGGAATATCGCGGAATCAAAATCTTCACGATGTCCGCAGAGCTTGACTGAGTTGACAGTGGCTTCAGTTGATGGCGGCTTCAAGAAGGCCGCCTGTAGTCTACCAAGATGTTCGATAGATGTCGAACCCCAGCTTTGGAGTGAGGCCACTTCTCGCAGGTTTGCATGTTCACCAGCATTACGACATACTGGTGTACACTGCAGTGCGGCAGAAGAGTCTGCAACCAAGACCAACTCAACGTTGACACCTGTTTCACTGATTCAAGAAAGGAACCGTGATCCTCAGCCTCCGTTGACCTTGTGATACCAATCCCTTCATGGGGAGTGTGTCCACGAATGGCCACCTGATTCACAGGCTCTTAGTAGTAGGATTCAAGGCCTGGCGCACAGATCAGTGAACCCACTGACTGAGACTGACATGTAGTTCTAGGCCCACTGAGAACTAAGGCAGAATCCCACTGAGAAAGTGGATCACCTTAGGTGGTTTTTCGCGGTGAAAAAAGCTCCACCAGTCGCCGTCGTCCGCTCATCGTGCAGTCGTCCGATGCTCCCGCCCTTGGAGCTGGACCGACCTCGCACCGCTCGTCCCAGGGACAAATCGGGCTCCGATCCGGATGAGAAGGCCTACCCCTTCGACGCAAGGTGCGACGGAGAATCCCAAGTCGTGTTCCGCGGCAGACGCGTCTTACGCGTCTGAAAACTGCGTGTGTCATGCGTGCGGCTCTGAAGGGGGTCTTCCTCTGGTGACTGGTCAGTTTTCGGAAATGAGGGGAGATCAAACATGACAGAGTTTTTGTCAGTACAACTTGGCGCGGGGGTTTGGGGTGGGGTTCCGGGCCAACAGATTACCGCTTCAGCCGTTGACCATGCCTTTTCAATGTTGTTTTGACTTGCAGTTTTGGGAGGCTCAAGTCCATGCGCCTTATGTTTTGCTTGGGGCTTGCCAGCCGCCTCGTTGTGATCGGTCCTTTTTTTTTCCTGTTTCGATCGTGTTTTCGATCCACGAACGCTTGCTGAGCCGTCTAGATCCGGATCGCCTTTCACTGTTGATGCGCTTGAGATCTGCTTTGGGGCCACGGTCCTCCGCCCGAACGCACCGCCCGATTTCGCAGGCAAACCGAGGAGGCCGTGGCGGCTCGGAGTGGTGGTGGGGACGTGGCGAATGAGTCGGTGAAAGCGGTTCGAAGCACCAACGGTCACCGAAGAATAGGGTGAACTATTCAAGACGCTGGGCAGCTCAGTTGAAATGACTCCCCTGGTATTTTCATGGGGTGATGTGAAAAACAGCTCTCCTGATGCAACGCAACCAGTTCTTCAAGCATGTGTCGTCGGCTGCTTGGCCCACTCGGCTCTCCGTTCGGTGAACCGATGGACTTACAGTAGCCTTTCAGATGCTTTTCAGTAAAGAAATGAACATTAAAAACAAAGTCACAAACAACCATTCACCTTGATATAAATTCAGCAATAAATTGATGCATCAACAGTTTTAGCTACGACATGGTTTGTTGGACATATCAAAGTCACACAGTCACTAAATTCAGTAGCTTTGATATGTCCAACAAACCATGCACCTTTCTGGTGATTCCTGGGTAGGCCTTTTGGGTCGCGACTTGAGCCGGGAGTCGCGACGGAGTTTTTGGAGAGAGAGGAAAAGCCCGGGGTAGTTGATGGTAGTTGAAATGCTGCTGAATTACAGTGGGTTGAGAGTAGATGGCGCAATCCCCAAGAGGTGCTTTACTGTACATCGACTCGATCAAAAAGCACATATTGGGGTTTGTGCCATATCTACTCTCGAAACCACAATGCAAGTTGCATCAAATGATGTCGAAAAGACAATTTGACCGTGACCTCATCTGATTTGGTGGGTGGCAGTGGCAGCCACCCTCAGCCCACACTCCTTCTGGTACACCTTCGCCTTAGTCCATGGGCCCATGGGTTGGGTCTGTCCTACTACCTGCAACAGTCAGTAAACAATTGTTACTATTTTTGAAACAAGGCCTGCAACTGAACCATCATCATCCACTGCTACAGGTCTTAGGATAGACCCAACCCATGACCCATGGAGGTTTGTTGGGCGGAAATGCCGTGCATTTCCGCGCGGCTGAGCGCCCCCGCGGCAGCGGCCGCGCGCAGCCATAGGAGGAGAATGCGAACGCCACGGTGTCCGCGCCGCCGGAAGATACCACAGAGACGCCCAGCCGGAGGAATTTGGCGCCTCGGTACGGGGTGGGCAGGTCGTCCAAATGTGTGGGGTGGGCAGTGTGGAAGAAACAAATCCAGGCCGCCCCTCCTACTTATGTCATCGTGAGGATGAAATGGGCTGAAATGGGTTCATAATTAGAAACTTGGGTCGGGATGAAGATAAACGACCACCCTCTGTGACGTGTCTACGTTTTAGGTTTGCCATCTACCCCGCAGATGGAGTACATAGTCACATAGATGTCACATAGTGCATACTGTCATTTCGAGATAAGACATCGCCGTTGGAATGTTTGCCAACCCGTGCAGCTTGTCCATCAGAGCCTGGCCGAAACATTGATCGGTTCATGGTGCTTGTCCTTGCCCAACCTGTAGCACTGAAAGCCGAGAATCAGTAGGTCAAGTGGGGCAGACGTTTTCTCTTGTCATGTTTGATCTTGAATCTTTATCAGTCGACTTCCCCCTAGAAACCAACTGAAGGAGAGTGAATAGAACCCCCCCCCAAAACAAAATCAAACACATCCTCGCGCACTAGAGTCATAGCAGTAGTCGTCGGTCAGAGTCATAGTAGTAGTGGTTGTCGTGGTGGTGGTAGTGGTAGCAGTGGCAGCAGCAGCAGCAACAGCAGCAGCAGCAGCAGCAGCAGCAGTAGTTGTTGTTGTCGTAGCAGTGGCAGCAGCAGGAGTAGTAGTAGTCGACGTCATCTTCGTCTTAGCAGTAGCAGTGGCATTTGGAACACCTCAATGGAGGCCAAAGATTAGGTTGTGATTCTTTTGCAGCCGGATTATTTTGGCACCCCCTTGGCAATGCATATGAAATATTAACTGTCTAAATTCCAGGCCGCCAGGACCAACCACCAGCAGCAAATAACAAGAGCCAAGCGGAAACCCAAAGGCAACAAACAATCGATCAATAGGAATCACAGTGGTGGTGCTTAAACTACTACATTAAACTAAACCAGGGGAGAACTAATTGAAGAAACCAAAACACACCCCAGGGATCCGTCGGGTGATCTTTTAAATCCAGCCCCCCCCCCCCACAAAGCTCTGCGGGGGGTACCAAGAAAAGGCCAACAACCGTTCTTAATGATGTCCTTCTATTTCTTCGATTCCTTGTGGCCTTCCTTTTCGGCCCACGCGCGGCCATATCTTGTCCCGCTTCGTTCCCCCCCCTTTTCCGCTCCTTTGAGCCCTTCGTGTGGACCGCTCACCTCGGTCCCCCCGCCAGGTCACCAAGAGTCAATCTTTCCTCCGGGCGAGGCTGTCGATGCTGCTCGGTCAGTCCGGAGTTCGAGGGGAGGAGATGCCATGAAGATGACCATGTGACCATACCATGGTAATATGGAGCTTCATGTTCGTACTTCCTTTGGGTTCCTTCCAAATGGGCAAGACTATGAAAGGGACGGTGGATCGATACTGCAGAGTTGAGGGTGACCCCAGATAGACAGGTGAAGTGAAGTAGTTCTGACACTGTCTTGATTTGTGCAGTTCCTACTATTTTAGATATTTAGGTGGCTTTGGTGCGAATAAGTGAGCGCAACCGGAAACAAAGTACACTTGTGCTGAATGATCCTTACTCGACAAGTCGGACAACGTCAATGAACGATGTCCAGCGGTCCATTCCGTTGGAGGAGATCCTGAGGGTAGGAGCAAGCACCGGTGCATCATGTGCTTGAACCGATTCGAAACACGCGACAGCAGCGAGAGATCCTGTTTTGTTCGTTTTGTTTCTGGCATTCGCTTTTATATATTTGTCGTTTGTATTGTATTGTATTGTATTGTATTGTCTTGTTTGTTTGTTTGTTTTTTTGTTTCGGTTGTTCATGTTCCTTCGTGCGTTCAGGTATGTCATGTGTGTTCGTTCGTGGGTTCTTTTGTTCGTTCGTTTATGGGCTCTTTCGTTGGTTCGTTGGTTCGTTCGTGGGCTCTTTTGTTCGTTCGTTGTTCTGTTCTTTTTCTTCTGTTCTGCTCTGCTCTGCTCTGCTCGCTTGCTTGCTGGCTTGCTTGCTTGGCTTGCTTCCTTGCGCAAACGCATCTAGAACCCGAATCAGCAAATTCCTGAACCACATGGGCCACTCTCCAATGTAAGTGTCAAACTACAGGACATGTGAACATTTTCCATCCGCAAGGGGCCAGGACGGACTACGGTTGCTTGTTAGTTGGCCCCGTCGCCGATGCAGAGCAAGGTTCCATGCATTTGCGTACGCCCCTTGGGCCCCGTCTGGCCATTTGAATGTGTCTTTCCCGAGATCTTCTCATTTTGGTGGTAATCTACCAATCTACCTCACGCTCCCCTCAACCAGATTGGTTTGCAAGGACCAGGGTTGGGGAATTGATGGCAGGCTGCTCAACGAGAGACTGGTCACTATGACCCTCACTGAAGTGTCGGAAGAAAGGATCAAAATATCGGGTGCTTCTACATGTCGTGCAACCATCCTAGAATGGATAGGGTATGAACATGCATGAACAAATCCGACAAAATCCAAACACTATGACGAAGTAAATCTTCTATTGTCCATGTGCATTTTCTATTTTCTCCAGGGATGACCTTCTATTCTGTGCATGCATAGATTCCACCCGCACCACCGGGCCGGTGGTGTTTGCTGTTTCGACACCTCCACACCAGCCGCCTCCAGTGTTTCGCCCAGGCCGGACCGCATCGAAATCTCGCGGATGCGCGAGGCGCGCCGCGGATGGGGAGGGGAGATGATGGAGAGACCTCAAAGCAAAGTGACAGGTTGAGGATGCATTACTGTAAAGGTTTTTTCTTGGGTGTGGCAGTGTGGCAGTGCTGAATTGTCAGCAACTAGCATAAAGAGATGCACAGCAATGAGGTGATCCTCAGAAACAGTCCGTCAAAAGATGCCCATTATAACATCGTCATGATGTTGTGAACAGAGACCCGTCATTCCGAATTTTGTTTACTCAATGCTTTCTTTTGGCAGGACCTCTGCCAGTCATTCCCTGACCACGCAGATCCTCAGAGATCTCAGAGGTTGAGAAGTTGAAAAAACGAACGCCTCCTTTGTTGGGGGGGAGGGGGGGCTGGCTTGGAGGAATACCTGCAGCGGAAGCCCGGCTACTGCTTCTCTGCTCGTGAGGGTGACCCAGATGCTTCGGGCACTTTGCCGGAGGGCGATTCTGGTATGACCTCTAAACAGCAGGTCCTCATAGAAGCAAAGATATGCAAAGATGCTTAAGCCATCGCCTGGGTCGAGGGAAGTGGTCCTGGAAGAGAGCCGCCTCTCAATCGCTGAAGAAGCTTTTGCGCTGTGCTGGTATGACTTCAGAGTGCACACCTAAGGGGTGGTCTTCGATCGAACACATCCCATGATCATCACCATCCATCCATGAGAATCAGAGAATCAGTCTGTGGCCACCTTCCGCGAAAAGGCTAAGGGCCATGCCGCCGAAAGCATGGCCATGGCACTGCCCTCGTTTTCTTCCGGTGGTGCTTGTATCCACCGGGCACCCGCTTCCAGCGCGGGATGGGAGCCCGCTCCGAGGACACCAGCCTCTGAGGGTTGAGATTTACTTGCTCTTGGAGGAGCCGACGAGCAGTGCCTCGGCGGATCGGAGGACGGCGACGGCTGGAAGATCCGGAAGCGACGAGGCGACGCGCAAAAGGCTGGAGTGAGGAGTGAGATCATGGAGTAGGGGGAAGTTGGTGCAGGATGGTTGATATTGACTCTATATATATAAATATATATAATATATATAATATATATATATAGAGTCAATATTATCGTATATTCTTCTTAGCTGCTTTGATCTAGGCTATGCCGCTATGCCCTATAGATGCGTGAGCAAAGATTGCGAAGTGACTCTGCTGGGTGGTAGCGATGTGAACGATGGAAGGTTAGTTGAGGACATGAATGATGTTTTCTATGTTTTTGTTGTGCCACAAGGCCCTAAGAGGCGATGACTGTTGGACCCGTAGCCAGACACTGATCGGCCCTGTGGTCAAGCATACTGCTCCTCAAAAGTAGAAAAGGTTATATACATATAATGTGTGTGGATGTGTTTCTATTATTGGCTGTTTGTATTTGTTTACCAAGTTTTCCTGGTTTAGCTTTGGGCATATTGAGCGTTGAGCGTGACAGACTGCTTTAAATGAAAACTTTGCATTTAGTCATTAAGTAAACTATTTTTGCCGAGTGGGTTATTTGTGGGTGGTGGTCGCGGTGATGCAGGCCCCAACATGGGGCCCCAACAAGGGGTACATCACCGTGGGCATTTTGGCCAAAGAATATGGGTTTAAGATGGTTTAAGGGACCTTATTGAAGAGGTTAGTACAATCCAAATTTTCTTTGAATCATGGAGTCTCCACAATCAAAGACTTGTATATGGGAGGCTGGAACCCACCGGTGGTCGCTTCGTTACCCAGGTCGATCGGCCAAGATGTTATCCATCGTGGTCTTTGCCGCTTGGTGAGGGATGAGCGCGACTTTTGGTACGGAAGGCTGATTCATAAAAGCCATAAAGCACCATAAAACCCTCCCATTTGGAGTGAACACGCTCCTCAAATAACAGTCTCTTTAAAATGCATCACGAGTCTACATGGCCTACAATACGGAACAAGCGTCCAAGAGATGGAACCCTTTGAGCCGGATGAAGAAAGGGGTCATAAGTCCTGCCTTAGGCCCGTGCTGATGTAGCTACTTTAAGATCTAATCTTGGAGGAGTTTGGAGTTGTGTGAGTGAAAGTCGCTGACATTCGTCCAGATCTTCGAAGGGCCCTAGGGGTCCTAAACCCTAAACCCATCGGCAGCTGATCAGGCCCTCTGGGGTCTGACCGTGTCCAGCTGTCACGCGCGGCAGCGTTCTCCACCGCGAGGTGTGTATCATTCTGTCCATCGCCCTTTTCATGCTCGAGACCATGCCGGAGCTCAAGGATGTGCCAGCACCCTGTCGAAACCTAGGAGGAACGGGGAGGGGCGGTGAGAAGGGGAAGAACTTCGAGACTGTGGGGGGCACAGGATAAAGGTGTTCCTTTGGAAGTCATTGGGGTTCATCTTGTGTGGGAGAGAGTCATGAAACAAGTCCAGGAATTTCAGTTTCACACAGATTCGTGAACGACTGAGCATGGCCATCACCCGGCACGCAGCAGAGACGCCCAAGGACCCTGGAGGGAGATTGCAATAACCCAGAACAGTCTGAGGTCTTGCTTTGGGGGGTGCAGATCGATGGAATCAATTGTCCGGAGCCAGCTTTCCGAAAATTTACCAATCGAATGTCAGGAGTTGAGTTTACAGTCCACGATCATAGTGGATGAGAAGATCAGTCACACTTTGGGGAACGGGCATGGATCAACTAGAACATTTAGAGGGTTTGGAGGCAGATGTTGAATTGCACGAGGCTTCCAATCTGTTTAATCTTTTCGGCATTTGGATGCATTTGGAAGGTCATTTTTCAGCGAGGGCAGACTGAGTGGATGGACTTTCCAGGGCTGCAACCTTTCCATTGCTAAGGATGAATTCTGGCCTGGCCCTCAGCGGAGACTGACGGTCACTCCGGGTCACTCCCGTGGGAGAAGCCATGGCAGGGGTGATGGTCATGCAGTTTGTGATCGTTTCTGGTTGACGAGGTCCCCATCCACCTCACTGGATCTAAAGTATAAGGACGGGTTTGGCGGAAGAACCTGATGTCCAGGTGAAACTCCTCTCACGGTCTTGCTGATGTGTGAACTCCCTTGGCTCGCAACCCTCCGGCACGAATGATTGCAAGCAGCCACAGCTAGACGAGGAGCAAGCTGTTCAGCAAACCGTTCTGTTTATGAAGCACAGCCGGGGGGTGCACTGTGGAGTTGTACAGCCCGGAGATCTGGCTGTTGAGTTGACCACTGGGTCACTGGCGACGCGGTGCATGTGGTAATTGTTTGCTGGACACTAGTCACTAGTAGACTCTCGACACCCACACGACTTTTGGCATGCTGGAATCGCGTGCTTGCCGGGTGCTGTTTGTTGTGACCACAGCTTGCAGGGTGGCTTCGGAGTGCTTCTTCACCATCGTCTTCATGGTGGAGTACATGACCAGACTTTTGGCATTTTGGCCTGAAGAAGTTGAGTAGCGAGGTGACCAACGGCACGTAGAAAACGCATAGTGGCAAGCAGAGGGGGGATGAATGACCCTCCCGCCGCCACACGGCCCCACGCTCCCCGCTTCTCCTTCGGCTTCTTCAGGTCTGCGATGTCTCGGGCGTTTCGGCGTGGGCGTTCATCAGGCGCACCTTTCCGAACGAGAAAGCGCTCCGGGCATCACCAGAAAGCAGTTCAAAGGCTGAAGATGGTTTACAATTATAATGGTGTTCCTGGGTTTCCAGTTGGAAACTCGAAAAGTACATCAGACATCTCCAGAAGTATTATGATGTATTATGTATATCTAAATACTATGGTACTCTCTCTCTCTATATATATACACATGCATACAGATATATAAATATATATATATATATATGAGTGAATCTCTACGGCATTGACGAAACCGACCTTCTTTCGGGATCGCCTCGCTCCGCGAGGACGCCGATGAATATCGTGGACGTGGTGGCCGTGTTGCCTTTCTTTGTGATCCTCGCGCTCTCCAATGTGGGTAAAGCCATAGGCGCGCCGCAACGCGGAGTGGAGATAGGTGGGATGTTATTTTTCTTCAGGAAAACCGCAACGATACTAGTTTCATCTAGTTTCTATCATTTTGCTTGTTTGTTTTTTTGCTTTTTACATTTAGTGTTAACAACTTGATTGACTCATTGACCTACATACAGATCACCTCCAACCAGTCTTTTGAGAGAGTGGATTCGACCTGGAGACCCCCCCCTCGTGGTCGAATCTCCGGCGGCCATTGGGAGCGAGCGTTTATAAACGACGCCGCTCGGAGGCTTCATCCGGGCGGTGCGCCTGGTACGGCTGTTTCGGATCTTCAAGTTGCTGGGCCAAGTTCGGGACGGGTGGAAGTTCTTCAAGACAGAGCCTGAGCCTGGCCAGAACTTGGCCGGGTGGCCCGCTAGCTATAGCCAGTGTATACTCAACTTCTTGGGGGCACTCAAACAAAGGGTGGGTGGAATCGTTTATGTTGTACACTTAACCTTAAATGAACTTGAATGATCTTTACTTCGAGGGACGGCCGGTGTTGTCGTGACCGGTCAGACCCAAGGAACGAAGGAAGGGCTTCCCCACTTTAGATTGAGGAAGCGAGACTGGTTTTCTCACCCAACGGTTCCTCAAGAGGCGTCCTTTTTGGGGTGGATACCAGGTGGGTTCGATCCTTTGTGGGTCCGGAGGTGGGTCCTTTGGAGGTGCCTTTTTATAAACAATTCTTTGAACCTTTTTGAACTCTCTTGGACTCCGGACCGAGGCTAGGGCGGTACTCCACCGGCTTGAAGATGATGATGGTGGCCCTAGGCGAAAGGGTTTTTCTCTGGGGCATGATGGAGGCAGGGGCATGTCATTGGAAGCAAGCTGAGCCAACCAGGAGTTGGGCATGAGAGCAGCATAGCGTGATAGCAGAAGGTCGATCATGCTTTTTACATGCGGCGTGCGCATCTCTGCGCTGCATGCTGCCTCATTCTGGTGCTCGATCGTGCTTGTTCCATGCTGGTGCTCGGAAAGTCCCAACCCCTTCCTCACGGGACTGGACATCGCACCGGGGACACGTTCGCCGGACCCGCGGCGGCGTCCAATGATCAGTGTAAATAGGTCGAACAGGCCAGTATCGCGAAACGGCTATGATATATGTATATATATCTTATATTGTAATATTCATTATATTGCATTTCATATAGCAATACATATAGCAGAAGGGAGTTGCCCATGCTGCACTGACCTCTTCGTGTATGAGATGTGATGAGTAATTTTTTTGGGGGTTTAACCACTGCCCTCATTCAATCCGGTTGTCGTGGTTGGAGGAATGGTTCGCTTCTGAAAACGGTGCTCCGCTTGTGACAGAAGGGCCAAGAACTAACATGACGCTTCAAGAAGAAAACCTTTGATGGCCTAGATGGACTATGGTATATATATACCATGTATCCCTCGACGATAGTGACTAGCGACACTTGGGGTAGTTTCACCCATCCGACTGGACCGGCCCCTTCAGGTCCTGTGAGTCCGGGTCCTGGTCCGGTAAGGCAATAGTGGGCAAGCGCTCAGCGTCTTGGTCTTCTTCCTGGGGATCGGCTGTGTGCTCTTCTCCAGTCGGGGAGCCCCGGTCGACTGGGCCGGAACCACGGGCGGGACGCAGACGCAAGGGCACGGAGGGCACGACCTGAAGAAGGCAGTGAGATTTGCTTGAGAACCTGTGGGTCTAGACGCATGTCTAGGGGTTCCAAGTCGATGGTGTTTTTGGGAGTCCCCAATGTCTTTACGCATCACTTTTTGCCCCCCTGTCTCATGCACTCAGAGAACTCGGAGACTGTACACGGTTCAACCATGAAAGAGTCGATATCGAACGAGCCCCACATAGACCTCTCAAGCAGACTGGGCTTTTTCTCTGACTCGTTGGATGGTAGGGCTGCTTGGCAGGTCTACATACCCCTCTTGAAAATGGCCCAATGGGCATTCCACGCGGTAGAATGGAGCATTCCAGATCATTTCCAGTAGCTTTGACCCAGAACTCACCGCGTGAGGCATGGTCTATCATTTGGAGAAGCTCTCCTGCCCTGTCGCTCGGGTTGGTCGAATGGAGTGTTGGGGAGCGATGGATTTGAGAGAGAAATGACGCGACAAAATGCACCGTGTCACAGACCAGCAGAGGTTGAAGAACCCGAACTAGACTATCCTATAGGTACCCCTGGTCTACTGGGTCCTAGTTCAGGTCACTGTCCACCTCTGTTGGTAGCCGAGAGGAGGGAGTCTGCTTCCTTTGACTCCTTTGACCTGGACGCAGTCCGAGGGATGTCCTTAGGGTGCCAAACGCTCATCCTTTGGATGTTTTTTCGGGTTCGTTCGCCTTCACTGGGTGAAAGGTGGGTTCGTGGGTCGTTGAAGTTGTGAACGCTTGGGTGCTGGGAGCTCACTAATGGCTCCACAGTGGATGGCAGAAGCTAAGGGCAGATGCGGGTCCATTCAATGCTCACTCTTTGGTACATTTTGGTACCATGGACTCTGAAATCACGTTTTACCATGTACATGAGAGTCCCAAGCCCTGACATGACCCACCACAAGATCTTCGTCGGACGGCTATTTGTTTCTGAGTTTGTTGGCGCCATCTGACGGAGTGGTGTTGGGGTGGGAGCTTTGCAACGCTCTCCGCTGCGGCCTGCGGTCCAGGATCAGACCAACTTTAATACCACTGAGCTCTCGACCTACAAGGAGGCAGGCTGACTCGGAGGTGAAGAATCCGCAGGCATTCTTTGGCATTCTTAGAGCCCCCCTCCAGCAGATTTCAAACACATTGGAGCAGGACCTTCGGGAGGATCACTCTCCATTTCCGCTTCCTCTACATTGCTGTTGGAGTGCAGTGTGCCCACACTTGGATGACCATCACGGTCAGTACAGACCCACGACCGTTTGGACCGACTTGGGACCTACCGACCTTCACCGCGTCAGGAGTGTACGGACAAGCTGCGGCGGGTCTCGCAGTACGGGTTGTGCTGCAACGAGCAGAACGTCCCGCTGGAGTTCCCGTCGATTCTGCCGCTCGGGCGCTTTCGGGGCCCAAACGTTCAAAAAGCCCGTTAAGGGCTGCAGTCGTACGTTCGGAGAAGGTGGGACTGGGCTGGGTTTGGAGGGTCCTACCTTCAGGTTGTGATACTTGGAGCCCTTGGGTAGGTTGGCTCATGAATAGAGGGGAACACCCGGAGACGACGTCAACAACCTAAGAGCTTTGTGGGACCAACTGGGCCCCTTCTGATGGCGAGAGGCGCGGGTTGCTGGGCGTTGATCCATCGGTCGGCCCTGGCCGTGTCCAAAAACAGCGGTATGCTGTGTTCGGAGCAAGCAGTTGATCATTTTGGTATGTTTTTTTTCTTCTACCTCTTTCTTCCTTCTTTTTGTCCTTCTTCCTTCTCTTCTTTGCTCCTTCTCCCTTCCTCTTCCTGTCTTCCTTGGTTTCCTTGTCTTCCTGGAAGCGGCAGCTCCTCTCTAGCACACTAGACTGAGGTCCACCTTCTGGTGGAGCCTTGGCTTTTGGAAGGGTCGAGCACGGGATGGTTGGGATGGTGGGGATGCATCTACCATGGCCATCCATGGCCATCGTATCGCAGGCTTGACTGGAAGGCTCCAGCGGGTCTCAGTATCTATTACGGGTGGCGTGTGCCCCCCTCACACACGTTCCAGTTGTGTGTCAAGAATTTTGATTGGAGCGTGCCTGTGTCCTGAACAAGGCTGGACTTGGGCATCAAATCCGTCCTCAAGTCCTCGGATGATTTGCTGCTACCGCCTTGGACCTCCCACGTCCCATCTCCAATCCCTGCAGATCCTCATCCTTCATGAGTGGATACCTGAGGACCATAGTCACCATGTCCACCGTGGGCTACGGCGACATAGCACCGCGGACCCCGCCCGGGAAGCTTGCAGGTGGTGCGGGTGTGGTTTCTGACCGTTTGAGAGGCCCTCATGATCCTCATGCTGATGAACACAGGGAACACATGGAACCTCCAAAGACTGTTCTCGTGTTTGATCCGTGGCTTTGGTGCATGACAGAAAACATCCATTTCCGAACCCACCCACAGCACCGCCTTCCCCGCTTTTGGCACGTGAGCAGGTGCTGTGACGATGTGCTCGGGGATCTTGCTCTTTGCGCTGCCCATCGCCCTAATTGGCTCCCGCTTTCAGGAAGCCTACAACATGGCCGTCTCCAGGCCAAACCCTCCCGGAAATGGATCGGACTGCCGAGGTCTAGGATTCTTGAAGGTTGCATGCTCCAAGAAGGTATGTTTATCTTAGAATATCTTAGAGAGCAATGGCAACATGGTACATGGCAGCATGCTTATCTCAGAAGGCACTGTATGTTCGGAGGAGGGGTTCTTTTTGTCAGCACTTCTTGAGACGCCACAACAGCCAGGGATAGCCCATCGCTGCAGCACCTTGGGCGGCAACGAACGGCGACGAAATCGTCCTCGCGGTCCGCGTCCGTTTCCGGCCCAGAACTTGGCACTTCCCCACACCCTTCCAACTTTGAGCTTGTAACGAGTGAATGCTGGAACAGCGGGGCTTAGATGAATGAACGAAGAATCATTCCTCTTTTTACTTTTTTCCTTCCCCTCTCCCTCCACAGTCTAACACGCGCATATGATTATATCATAATGCATGGTATATTGTAACACACCAATCATTGTCGAAGACATCTGCATTTGGATACGGGACAAGGGTCGTTTTGTGGTTGACTGCGTGGTCCTGCAGTCCAAGCCCTGGCATGTTGGCTGTGTTGACCACCAGAACATCATTGTTGAGATCGCTTTTGGCTGGGATCAGGTGGCCGAAGTCTGCTGAGATCGCGCTGTGGGTCGGATCAAAACTGCACCTTCCCGTGGGGTCGTTTTCCGATTTCCGATTTCACCGGCGCCCCTTTTCTCAGGGTCCGAAAGAGATCCAAGGTGCGGCCGGGTGTTGGTGTTGCCAAGCCACGGGGCCCACGGCATCAGTTCTGGACCGCCTCGAGACCACCAAATCCCTGGCGGGAGCTCCTGGGAGCGAATTCAAATCACAGCACGGGGACTAGAGGAGTGTAGTGCATGAGGGTCCCGCAAAAGGACTCACGGAAGTGACGAGGGTATTGTTCATCCCGAGGTTGCAACCAATCCGTCTCCAGTGTGTTCTGTCGCACGTGGAGTTGTCAAGCGGTCTGGGTGGAGATGAGGCAAGTGAGGCAGCTTTTTTTTTGCCGCAGCGAATAGGGAGGGTAATTAGATGATTACAATTCAACTATTGGATGATATTGGATGCTATGTTGGTTGGTACATGGCTTACGACGACAATAGAAGTGGAAATCATTTTTTGCTCTTGTTCTTTCAGGGTGGGTTGCTTCAAACGAGCCCCTTGGTGATGCAGCCTCAGATGATATGACTTGGGAATCCTCTGGCATTTCCACAGGATCCACGGGCCCCAATCATTTGGGACCGAATCATCACCGAGGCGTTTTCCGAGTTCCATTCCGCCCGCCCACCCGCCTTCCCACCCCGGGCACAGCATGCGGCGACATGTTGTGACCCGGGTCTGCCGGAGATCGCGGCTTTGCCAGGACCGTGATGAGCCGCCCTTCAAGATCATGAGCACCCGGCTGCCGCTGGGTGGAAGGGACGTGGGAGGGGACGTGGGACGACAGGCCTTTGAAAATCCAAGTGATGGGAAAGCTGTGTGGTGCCGCGCGCCCCAAATCATCAAAAACAAGACGGACAGATCGCCTCACAAGAAGAAGAAGAAGAAGAAGAAGAAGAAGGAGAAGAAGAAGAAGAAGTATGTGGATTCTCCTGAGTGGAGGGACTGGGCCGCTGGCTCCAGCTGGCATGTTTCAAGTGCTGAGGCGATTGCTGCGCTTCAGCAATACCTCCATGACGCGCTTGGCCAAAGAACTGTCGAAGGAGCGACCGGAGAAGAAGGATCACTTGGATCATCCACCCTGGGTGACATGGCTGTGAGTCACCACGCGCAATGAACAGAATCGACTTCCAGACATGGGTCCACCTATCAGGGTCTATAGGGTCTTGCGGGGGTCCGGTTGGTGGTTCACACGAACCCAAGCCTGAAGACATGAGGGTTCCATCCTGGTCGCGCAGAGTGCCGATCCGAGAGAGAACGTGAACCTGGAGGAGCCACGGTCAGTCGACTGCGGCGATGGCTGGTCCCACGCAGCTCCCAAGCCACGCACGTCGTGCGTGACACGACGGGAACGATCGGAAGTCCATGGAGCCGCCCTGGCGTTCAGTACTGGATTTGCACCAGCACTGAGAAATGAAATATAATATGAAATCATATTCATAGAAATACGGTACACCAGGAGTCACAAGACGGGGTGGTGGGCCCAGTCCCAGTGAGTGGAGAATGGGAATCCCCCTAGCCTCCAAGTTCGGCACCCCGTCTTATGACTCCGGGTATTTGGGTGCACTTAGTCTGAATTCTTCTGACGCTGTTTGGTGGTTGGCCCCCTTCACGGGTGGTGAAAAGAATCCCAAAGTGGTGAGGATTCCATTTTGGTCCACTTTCCTAACCGTCCAGTGGGTCTGACATGCTCCCTCCGCCATGCCCCCTTCCCGCCACCACTCCATCCCAGTCTCCATCCCAGTCTCATCCCCAGGAGCTTGAAGAGGCCTCCGAAATGCAGGAGGACATCCGCATGTGTCTTGGACGCGACCGGGCGACCGGGCGACCCGACCCTGCGACCGGGTCCAGTTCGGTGCCCGACGGTTTCGACCGGTCCAAAGCGGCCAAGTTCGGCCCGGAGACAGGGACGGGTGCGGCCGGGTGCGCGTCAGAGAGTAGGGAGTCGTCTTGAAAACGCCGCCGATGCAGTCCTGTTCTTCTGAACCTGGACCGGAGACCCGGTGATGCCACGATGCCGCCTGCCTGGCCTTTCGTGCGAGCTCGAGCTGCGCCGCGCTGTGTTTCTTGACCGCCGCTGAAGCGGCTCAGGTTCGAACGGGCGGAGAAGGAGCTCCAGAAGGAGGTCCTCAAGAGCGGACTGCAAGTCGTCAGCCGTCCGGGCACTCGCCGGCCACGTCGCCCGATGCGCCGGGCCGCAGCGGATAGGGAGTCCGGGAGGATGGGCGCGGCTGGGCCGGTTGGCGCAGCCGGTTGGCGCGTAGATGATGGTAGGTGAGTTGATGCAAAGAGTCCGCGCATGGGTTTTGGCGCGGTGATTCTCAGAGGACATGCAGCAAGGTCAATCCGATGGTCGGTCTCTTTTGCATCGCCCAAGTGCCTGACGGAGCCCCTTTGTCTTCTGACAGGGAGTTGGAATCATGATGAATCATGGATTCCATTGACTGGTGCGTGGCAGTATCAAGTCAAGTGTTAAGCCATGTTAATCCATAACTGTGGGTCAAAATTGGTAAATGCACTGTTCGTGAATCGGGGCCGGGGCTTGTCCCCCATCCTTGACTTGTTGGTGCAATGTACGATACATTACAATATTACTCTTACTGTACATCAATATATGTGAGTGGATTATCCACCCACACTGGTAGCTTCCACCCACACTGGAAGGTCTTCGATCGGCGGTGCTCAACTCGAATCAAATACACAAACAAATATACATCAATATGTAATATATAATATAACAATATATATATATATTTATTTATGTAAAGCCACTGCGCAATCGAAAGACCCAGAGATGGGTCAATCCGCGAAATCGAACATCGACATCGTATTGGACACCCCCCCGACCTGTACCAGACTTGTACGACCTGCGCCGACCTGCGCCGACCGCGCCCAGGTCTCCAGTTCCACGTGGACGCCGCCAAGGTTGGGGCAACGACCACGGCGTCCAGTGCGCCCAGTGGAGGCGGACCTGCGGCGGACCTCGGTCGTGCGTGGCGGATGCGCATGGCCATGGGCGGTCCACCACTTCTCGGCACTTGGGGGGGGTGGGATTCAGGGAGTAAGGTCATGATAGGCTCTTGATGACTAACCTTGCCATGGAAAGAGGTTGTTCAATCCAACAGGGCGGGTGAAAGAACATCAAAGGAGTCTGGATCCGTGCAGGGTTCGACCATTTGGTCCTTCTGTCTCACCAGAGGCGGCCCTCGGATAGAACTGGAGGCACTGCTGTCCGAATGGTTCCCAGCAAATGGCCGGGCTCAGGATCCATGGCCTGAAGTTAAGCAATGAACATGGCTAACATGTCCCAAACTAGGGAGCTTTCTGATATATAAACTTAAGTCACTTTGGTTTCTGAAACTTGCCTAACCTGGTGACCCTGTCCCACCAAAAAGCCAGCCAGCTCTTTTCCATTTCGCCCCCGGATCGCCCCCCCCCCCTCCAGGTCTGGCCGAGGGTCGCTCCAATGCGGCGCCAGCCTCCCCGCCGCTGCCGGAGGTGGTGCTGCCGCACCAGTCGGGTGTCCCCAACCGGCCGGGGGGGTTCAGCAAGCCTCCGGTGAGCCGTGGCGAGCGGATTTGCCTCAGACGAACCCAAACAGATCCATAGAACATGACAGAAATCAATTACTATATAATATAATAGATATAAATTGTAGATCCATGGGATTGCGTGGGTTGGATGGAGCATGTCTTCCCGCCGGTGTCTTGGTAGATTCCTCCTTATTGCTTCTTTCTAGTAGATACTTTGAGGGAAGAATCATCCTGAAGATGTCTTCTCTTGGCCTTTTCCCGTGACCTCCAGGACATTCCAGCGAACAAGATTCGGGATTCCAGCGGTGTTCCGAACCATTTCCTGCATGCCATGCCAATCGCCCATGTGAGGCCACACCAGGCCACGCACCCGTAGACGACCCGTAGACCATGTTGGATGACTCATGTGTGGACAAAGGCCCATGGTGGAGCCAGACCGCGAGGTGGTGGCGCCTTGGACAACGGAACATGGAGACACAGAACAGTTGAGCCCATTCCTTTGGGATTCCAACAGGGGGGAAAGGGCATGGAGCCCATTCCTTTTGGCCTTTTGGATTTTGGACTGACTTGGTTGTCTCAATGTCGATGTACTGACGGGAAGGGGGACAGGTGCTTCATAAAGGGTTCAGAGAAGGGTTCTTTTTGGGGGGCTCCAGTCATCAAAGCGCTACGGGTGGTCGTATGGCTGTTTCCATCAATGGTGGCACACTTTGAGCGAGATCTATGGCTTTCAGTTCATTTCGTTCCTTTTCCGAAGGGTCTTTTTTTGCGGGTCTCCCTATTTCAAAGGTCGACATGTCAAACAGCAAACATAGTTAAACAACAATCATTAAAATTCCATGTTTTCGCCTTCAGGATTCTTCCTCTTCCATTTCTTCATTGCTTCCGCCCGCGCGGTCCACCGGTCCGCGGCTCTCAGGTGCCGGACCGGTCGAGGCTGGGGAAGATGGTGTCCTTCGACGTGCCGCGTCAGGTGGACGACCGGATGGGCCATGGATGGGGCGATGGTGGGGTGGCCGGATGGTGAGGTCATGATGGTTTGAGATGGTTTGAGGTAGGCCTAGGCGTGGCAGATCCAAGACATGGCCTTGGTTTTTGCGGATCTTTATTGAACTTCCAAGCACGCGGAACTTTCCTGTACCAATGATATCCATTATGCTCATTATATATCCCTTAAAGCAGGCATCCTTACATGACTGCGTGTTTGGTGCATTTCGCGGAGGTAGCTAGCTATGTGGGCTCACCTTTTGGACTGCACAATGCAACGCCAGGGTGGTTGATGTCAACCGGGAGGCATGCAGAAGACCCGGGCTACAGGGCTCCCGAATGGAGCAGGGCTGCAGGGCTGATGTCCAGGGCTGCAGACTGCTGGGCTGATGTGTGTTTTGGTGCGTTTGTTTCGCAAGCATTTCAAGGCACACATGTATTGAAATCACCACTTCAAGATACGTAAAGGGAACCTGTGATTCTTGTTCCGCCAATTTCTTTGTCCAGACGGAGAGTGGTGAGACCTGTTGAGTCACTTCCTCGACGCTTTACTTCAGAGCGCCGATAGACCTTCAGTAGATTGAATTATATATCCAAAAAACCAACGGGTGCAGCAGAGTTCAGTTTTGGATCAGTCTTGTCGCGGTTTCGCCACGTTGTGCAGTTGGACCCCACCTACCTCCGCCTACACTGAACGCCACAACAAGGTCATCACATGGATTTTCACTGAACGCCACTTAAAGTCAGTTAAACCATGTGATGTCCCACCTCCTTGAGGTTCAGTGCTTGGTCATCGGTTTTTGGGAGTGCCTCGTGCTTCCTTCTGGTGCTTTGGGAGGGCTTGAAGGCTGATGTTTTGTCCAGGGTTTAGGGTTTAGGTGTTGAAGTGCTGCTGGGACCTGCCCTTTTGGAAAGGCGGTGTATGACGGTGTTTCGGTTTCCTCAGGAGCAGTCGGAAGGTGAGGTGTAGGAACGTTCGCCACTTCGGAATCCATGCAGGTTCGTCTCTGAACAAGTTCGATCAAGAACCCAGAGGTCACAAGTTCGGATAGAAAAGGGGGGACCAATCCATCATAGAAGATCCCCAATTTGGTCTTCCATCCTGATTGTCGTCCTTCTGGAAATGGTGACTTGTGCCGTGGCGGGGGCCTTGAAATAGAGGCACCGACCAGGCTGCTGCGGCCGATGAAGTGATGCCAGGGACCAGGACGTCGAACCCACGGAGATGGAGGCGGATCCACCCACAAACTCAAGACCTCCGATTTTGGCCAGATCATGGATGGCCTTTTACATCCTTTTACTATCAGTTGGATTTGGCTGGAAGGCCCCCCCCGAACAACCAATGGCTCCACGTGCCGTTGCCATCCGGTCCAAAGTCAAGGGCTTCAGCCACACCGGGTTCGATGCCCACATGCCGGACGGGGCGACACGGCGAATGCGTCGGGCTTCGGGCAGAGGAAGGCCAGCGGCCTTGGTTACCATGCTTATATGGCCTAGCCTGCGTATAGCGGAGCGTTCTAAGTATTGGTGACAGGTAGGCTAAGGCTAGGCTAAGGAGAGGTGTGAGTGATTTGGCAACACCTACCCTCCAAGTTTAGTGTGTCCTTGACTTCTTGAAAGGTTCATGATATTGTGAGGCTCACGAAGGTGGAATCATGTAGGAAGAGAATGGAAGAAACATCTACTGGTTCGGAGCCCAAATGTTTGGTTGATTTTTGGAGATCTTCAGAGCAAAATGCAATAGAAACTTATTTGAGGAAATTCAATTCCAAGACGTTCACCGCAGGGTGACGGATCCTCATCACACTTTCTTTAGCCTGGAGGCCAAGGACAGTCCAGCCCCCCAAAACAACCATCTTCCAGGCCCCCTAAGGGGTGTTTCTTTTCGACACCCATTATATAACCTCTAAGGAGCTATTATTGGACACCACTTAGGGGGCCCTGGTTTGATCCCCACCTTTTTGATGTATATCATTCTTTCATGGCCGACCGCCTTCTGCATCGGCTCCGGCCCCCCCTATGCCCGGTGCCGAAGGCATCGGGACCGGGAGCGAAGACACCGCTCGACACGAGCGTTTGGTGTGTGGAGCCTTTGGGCCAGCGCCTTCTCCACAAGCTGTTCCAAGACCACGTGAGACGAGAACAGACTCTGAATCTGAAAATATTTGACCGGAACATTTTTATAGTAATATATAGTAATATATACTACACTATTCAATGACCTACTGTAAATACACCTCATGTAAATACAGGCCGGTTTTTCACTCTCACCACCTTACCACCTTACCACCTTGAACATGTTTTCGACTGACACATTTTACTGATAGGCTCCGACGAGGCAAAAAAAACACCTTTAGTTCATTAGATCGCTGATTTACAATTCACCATTGCTTGAAGCAGGTTTGGGGGGTAGGGTCATGTAGACCTCCTTGCAGGATGCCCCCCTTGCAGTTTTTTTGCATTATTGTAGCCCAAAGCAGTTACAAGAGACTGGAGGCATGTGGGAATTGGCAAAACAACCTCACACTCCAAAGGCCCAAGTCCGAAGTAGACGATGACGAATTCTTCCGTATACATCAACTGCCGCGCAACGTGATGATGTACAAAAATGGCATGGACTTGGATCACCCAGTGGATCACCCCCATGTAGACTTCCCATTTTGTGCCTGTGAGCCACAACTAACATGTTCATGTGACAGCTAAAGCAGCTCACCTCTAGAACATATCGTGTGTATCCATCCAGTGGCTGCTGGACCTCGGCAAGAGAGACGTCGTCACCGACTCAGCCAAGAGGGTTGTGGGTTCCGACGGGGCGTTTGGAGGTCTGTTGCGGTGCAAAAGGAGCGGCGGTGGCGGTGGAAACTGGCAAGATTGGCACCCGCCCAGCATCCACTCAGCACCAACCATCCCCAACCATCACCAGCAGCATGATGTCACCGTCATCTTCACCCTGGAGCCACTGGAAGTATTTCAAAGTCCTAACTGTTTCCCCTCCGGGAGATCCTTTTGTGTCCCTTTTTGGCTACTGTATGTTCGCAGTGTTCAGGGAACGCAGTGCCGAAGACCCGGGGGTAGATGAGCCATCTGAAGTCAGCGCCCTGTTTCAGAGAGCCGCCCCAAAATGGATGATGCCGCTGCCTGATTCAGATGCCACCCATGCAAATGCAACCCAAAGCACCGAGAACACATGACACATTCAGCTCTTAAGTGTACTGTAACTACTGCAGATCTTCCTTGGAGTGGTTGTGCAGTCAAATCACTCAAGCAAAAGTGTATAGCATAGACCTATATGCTGCACATGGACCTATACATACATTCACGGCAAACATGCATCCCACCCATGCAATTGATTTTCGGATTCTTGGAGATGTCGGTCGTCTAAAGGCATCGGTGGATGGTCTATGTTCCGAACCTCCTGCGGTCTCTCCCTGCCATCCTCGGAAAAATGACTCCAGCGAGACGAAGCTCGCCGGTCTCGTCTGTGTGGCGCTGCTTGGGATGTCGGTCGCCACGTGGTGCGTTTGGAAGCGACGCGCGAAGAAAGAGGCGACCTTGCCACCACTCGTGAGCCTGTCGCGACGGCAAGTGGCCCAATAGTGGCTGGATGGTCTGTTTTGGAAGGCCGTGTTGATCGCGGCTCAGGAAGCGGAGGAGAAGTGGGGCACATCCATCTTCCGCATCCGTGGCGCGGGATTTTTCGATTCCCCCAGCGTCTACTGCACGGATCTCTCTTATGTAGAGATGCTCATGGGGCCCAAGGGCCTGGAAAAGAGCGAATTGTATGACCGCCCTAAAGATGCATGAGAGCTACAATGAGATCCGCAAGCCTATTATGAACTTCTTCTCCCTCTCAAACATTGCCAAACGTTTAGATTGCTGCCAAGGCAAGTTAGAGGAGTTCCTCAACATTGGGACGATGCGGCCGAACAGCAAAGGACTATAGAGGTGGGCCATTCGCTTTGCGAGCTGACCATGGATTTGCTTGGCCTTGTTGGTTTCCTGCAGCCCTCACTGGGTTAACCCTTTCCCCTTGGACAGCTAGTCTCCTACAGATCTAAGCTGACACGGTTTTCAGAGGTTGTTTGCTTGTGTGTTGGTTTTCTGGGGCATTGAAGTTGAATGTGACCTGTCCGACATGTGCTGAAGCTGGCGTGACCAGTTTTTTTTGCCAAGCCACCAGTGCCTTTCACTCAAACCAAGGCCTGTTTCAATTACGGTTTCCAAGGTGACAATCCAGGAGTTCGCATGATTCACGCTGTGCCCTTTTTTGATGGAAGAGACTGGCAACAAGCAACGCTTTATCCCTTTCCGGAAGCATCTGACATTTCTGCCCGGCGTCAAACGGTCCAAGCAGGTGATGAAGGACAACCTGCAATTTGGCAAAGATCTCCTTCCTTTCGCATCGTCGCGAAGAGATGGCAGGAAGAGATTCTGTCCATCAAAGCTCTTCCGGAGTTTTGTTGCTTGATACATTCTTCAAGTCCCCCTATGAGTCGGAGGAGGCGCGTGCGGCAGATGTGGTCTTCTTCCTTCTTGCAGGACATGAGACGGCATGAGACGGTCGGGTACCAGCTCTCATGGTGTATCTGTTGCCTGATTCAGTTGCCCGAATGCCTCCGCAAGGTCCAGGAGGAGGTCGATCAAGTGATGGGCGCCGCCCGGATCCCCGCAGCGCGATGCTGAAAGACCTCCGTTACACGCTCTTATGACTCTTATGTTTCATGGAGTCCTTGCGCTTATGGCCGGTCGTCCCCGAAGGCAGCGGCCGGACGGTCAGCTCGCCACCGAGCATGGGGCCCTATGAGATTCCACCCGGGACTGAGATTATGATCTCGAACATTGGTGCGTTAAGGTCCAAGCAATGGGGAGTTGATAGTGAAATCTTCTCTCCTGAGTGTTGGTTGGACAACAGTGAGAAGCCTCAAGAGCTTCGCAAAGCCTTCACGGGATTCAGCTATGCACATCGGACCTGTGCTGGTCGCACCTTGGCGGAGCAGGAGCGGCGTGAGGGTTCCAAACTTGTGTTTGGAACGTTCCTCGTGGACTTTTTTGTGTTTTTGTGTTTGGCCAGAATCCGGGCCCAGAAAGCACATCAGAGTTGGGAACGTCCGGACCCCTGATCAGAGATAGGTCGACCTTGTGACTGGGAGAATATTTGGAGATCCAAGTGGACTACCCTACAGGTCCCTTTGGTGGGGGCCAGTAGGATACCTACCAGTGGACCGCTGGTAGGATCTAGTAGGACCCCTAGGGTAGTCCACTCTTCGGTCAGGAGGCGAAGATCGTTCTTGCCACCATCGTCCGGAACTTCGAGTTCCTCCCCATCCACCTGCCACCCATCGGTGAAGAGATGCTCTACCACGTCACTGCCAGGCCTCGTGGTGGTTTGTCCGTCCAGCTCAGGCGGAGAGAACGTGAACGCCACCAGCCAAGAGCCCACGGCTTTTAACATCTTTTAACGCTTGGTGGGTTTCCAGCCAAGCTGCTTTTGATACAATGATTTTTGCCCTTGAACCATTGCAAAATGCCAAAATTTATGTTGTTTATACGTGGTACGTATGTTTTCTGAGAGTTTCAGAGATCGGTGCTTCGCTCTTGCCTCATTGGAATGCCGATTCGGATGAAGCGACGAAAGCCCTCGGCTCAAAGCAGATGACCCGCTCCGCCCAGAGAGCTCCAGGCACCGAACTCGAACGACGTCGACGGACCGCAGCGGCGGCTGTCAACGCCGTCCGTGGGATTCAGGGGATGAGTCGGGTTGCATCCAGGTGGAGGCATGCCATTGTCGAATGGTTCGGTAAGGAATATCAGTCATCTGGATAGAGCTACGGTATGTATATATTACATACTATACGATATTATTCTGATTGATTCTGCCAAAGTGGGGCCGATCCAAAGATCCAAGCCGAAAACACTTGCCTTGCTCCCAAAGGCCGGATGGCTCGAGACTGGGATCTCTCTGTGGGGAAGGCTGGAAATATGTGAAGTTGGGTTCTCTAGCGCTTGGGTATAGAAAAATATATAGATTATTTACTGTAATCAGACATTTAGACATTGTCATTGGAGAATCATGTTGCAGCCTGCCGTGATTTTTGGCTTGGGTTTGCATGAGGAATGATTCTTTTGCATTATTGCCTGATATGTCCGAAAGTGTACTGATTCACTCACTGTGTCTCACTGTGCAGAAAAGAATTCCGCTGTTTGGTGGATGGGGGTCCGCCTGGCGCCGGCATCGCCGGTGGTGTCTCTTTGGCTCCAGCGAACTCCACCCCGATCTCGGTTTCACTGTGAGCCTCAGACGCTTTGTTCACTCGGCCCATCCCGCGCAAGCCATGGGGAACCCTGCGCTCAGTGAAGATGCTGTGAGCACCGGCGCAGTGGCATGGGTCTTGACCTCCGCAGCCTTGGTCTTTTTGATGACGGCGGGGTTGGGTTTCTTCTACGGCGGTCTTGTGCGTGACACCAACATTATCAACACCATGATGATGAGCGTGGTGTCTATGGGCATCGTGTGCATCACTTGGGTTGTGTTTGGCTTCTCCTGGGCCTTTGGCGACAATGGCACCGGCGGGATCGGCTACTTCATCGGCAACTTCGACTACAGTTTGTGGATGAACTTGGACATGAAGATGTGGGGCGACTCCGGGCTTCCAGGCCCTTTTGCCGCTTTTTTTCGCGTGTGGGAGCCGGTCAACCCCCCGTCGCAATATGGGCGACGCAGTGACCCTCAAAGCTTGGGACGGAAGGCGGACCCGGGCCCGGGGAGGGGCGAACCACTTCGAGGCTGCACCGGTTAGGCCGGCCAAGCCGCTTGGGGATGCAGCCTGAGTCGAGGCGGCGTTCGGAGGGCTTCCCGCGAAGGTTGGGAAGCACCAGGTGATGACATGAGATGACGCATTTGGTTTTCAAAGCCTGGACCACCCCCCGACACATGGAAGATGCACCACTGGTGGTGCATTCTGTTTACTCCTTTGCTGTGCTGAAACATGTGAGCAAGAGGAGGTTGGATTCGTTGAGATCCTTTTGGAGCATTTCCGGAGCACACAGTTGTCACGGCTCTTTCACACAAAACCATGTTCAAAATCTGAATGGTTCTCTGCAGGATTGCTTGCAAAAAAACATGGAACAGCTCCTTCTGTTCCCTGTCTAGCACATGTCAGGCCTTTGCTTCGCAGCTTTTCAGATGACCTTTGCCATCATTGCTTCAGCCATCATTTCGGGGTCCTTGGTCGAGCGCATGCGCTTCAGTGCCCTGGACGGTGATTCGTATCAGCGAGGCTTGTTGTTCAATGCAGTGCCTTCCGGACTGGATTGAACCGCTTGATGCATTCCAAGGTGCTTATTCCATCATGCTGGCCTTGTGGTCGCTACTGATCTATGCTCCCCTTTGCCACTGGGTTTGGGGCTCAGGCGGCTGGATTGCCGAGATGGGAGCACTGGACTTCGCAGGTGGGGTGGGGAAGCCGAATGCAGGGGTAGAGTGTGGGGTGCACGAGCCTGGCGCGTCCCTGTGTTTTGTTAGGGTCCGAATCGTCGGCACATGTCAAAGCTCTCAGAAACATGCACAAACTCGAAGACTGCCGCTTGCAACTTGTACCGCCAAAACAGGTGGTACCGTGGTGCACATCAGCAGTGGCGTGAGCGGCTTAGTGGCCGGAGCCATCGTGGGCCCGCGCCGGCACGTGGACAAGGAGCTGGGGGCCGCCAACGCGCCCTTCGTGATCCTGGGCGGCTGCCCGATTCCAATCGGTACGAAGACCTTCTTTCGAGTCGAACACAGG